TATGTATATATATATATATTAAATAAATATGATTATCCATCAGTTATGATTATCTAACAACAATTACTGTATGCTAATTTATTTATCCAATTTCCTTATTATTTTATCCAATTTAAGTTAAAACTACGCATATGGAGGGTCGTTCAGTTTATTTACACAAGTTTTATTTTCTTATGCGAGTTTTATTTTGAACTCGCGTGATTCATATTTAGGTATATCAATTACTTAAATCATGATTAATGACTGTATGTTACCAATCTATATATATATATATATATATAATAAGAATTAACATTTACCATAAATAGTAGTAAGAAAAGTCAAACCACATTCATTATATACTATTTTCAATAATTTCTTTATTTTACATTTTAGTTTTAATTCATTATCAAAAAATTGGATGGTTCCTAAATTATGAGTTTTAGATGCACGTATCATGTTTCAAAAATTATAAAATTATTTAAAATGGAATGGTTCCTAAATAAATGTTTACAAACTTTTCTAAGTTGTAATCTTTATTGCATCTTTTCTTTTTGACTTTTAATAATAAAATCATTTTAAATATATATATATATATATATTTATATATATATATTGAACGCTAAAAATATTCTTTAAATTGCATACCCAATCAATTAATCTAATTTTTTTTAAATTACTATGTTTTTTTTATTAATATGCATAAAATAAAAATAAATAATTCATCTTTAGATATATAATTTACAGTCTTAATATACTATCATTTGGTTTAGACATATGAATCATAAAAATTTTTTTATTTCATAAAATTAAATATTATATTTAAAGAAAATAAGGAAATTACTTTGGATCAATCGGGTGATTGAATTAGGGTACTGCTCACGTTGATTGAATTACTTTTAGGTGATATTTAAAATAGTCAAAAAACTTTGAAACAACTTGGTTGGTCCCAGGTAACTAATTTATGTATCAGTTTGACAAGACCAAATCGATTATTGAACCTAAATATAAATTTTAATATTAAAAATACTTTATTACGTGAATGTCATGTAGTCCAAACTTTAAATAATCATACTAACAATACTTTTATGCCAACATGATTAATGATTTATGAATATTTATACATCATTTTATTATTATTTATGTGAACAAAATAATTATTTTATTATATTCTTTTATCAATGTACGGTAAATATAAGGTTTTCAGAACCGGACCGTCATCGAAACGATCAAGTTATTTTATTAAATCATTTGTGGTTGTTCAAATTTTAACACATAATACTTATATATATATATATATATATATAGTACTTTATATAGTACTTTTTGTAATTAATTTAAATAAAAAGTGTTACTTAAATATCCAAACAATTTATAAATTCAAATATTTAAATTAATTGATAAACAATTTATAAATCTCTATTTTATTTAAATATGTAATTTTATTTAAAATTATTTTTAATGTAATAAAATTTGTTTAGAAAATCGTTTTGATCCTACCAGTCCAACAGACTGATGTTGAAAGATTCGATAGCAAATATTTTATTCAAGCGTACTAGACTGATTATAAACCGATTCTCGGTCCATCCGGTCAGACTGTGTCCAAATCAGTTTAATTTAAAAATAGTGGGTAAATCATAATTAATGTTATTTATTTATTCAATTTATAATACAATCAAAATATTATTTTCCCGTGCATCGCACGGGCCACGCACTAGTTTACTAGAATAAAAACACACTCACATTGTCACACAACAACATTTTGTATATGAAATACTCCAATCCTTACTCAATTCATACTTATAATCTAACTAAATTTTAACTCGGCCTTATTATCCTCAATATTATCAATATAATTACATAATATCAATCAATCATTCTTATACATCACATCAACTTTAATTTACTATTCATCTATCGGATTTATAAATATAAGTGCGGCTTTTGGTTTAAATGACCATGTTGTGTATTACGGTCACAATACTTATAGGGCTTACCTTTTATCCAAAAGATAGTAAAACCGACCTAATCAAACCGACGAAAGAAAAAAAACCAAGCCGATTGCTTCGGTTGCCAACAGAAGTAGCCAGAATTTTATTTCAATCGAGCTTCAAAACATAAAACTGTTATTTGAACTTGTGAAAGCTCGAGCTGGACTTACTTATNCACATGACAAGAAAAAAGGTTTAAAAAAATTAGTTAATAAATACATGAAAAATACATCATGTTCATTAAAAAAATACATGAATAAAAGGTTACCGATTTAAGATGTGTACGTCTATTCTTCATATTATAGAACTTATTTATTTTTGAGTCCGTGTCAATCTTCGTAGTAAACTCTCTTTCGATGTGGTTGGAAAAAGAAATTGTGAAAGAGGCCTATTCTGAGTTGTTAGAGTTTGTTGTCAGGGCAGAGGATGAGATGCGACCCTTGAATTGTTACTCTTCTTCAAATTATCTTCAACAAGAACAATTTTTCAAGAAGGTAGGACGAAAGCGTTTATTCGTTAGTGCCTTAGGTTCTTTGAGAGGATGTTTTACTATGTAATGCAGGGCTTTGAAGGAAGGCAAGGAGGTGCAAAGCTGGTCTAAATCAGTGTCCTTGGCTGAACATGAGGGAGAAGCTCTTCTGCAGGCTGTCAGGTGGAGCTTGGGCTTGTCCTCCAATCTGAATTGGTCTAACTTCACGTGCTACTTAAAGACAAAAAGTTGGTGTCACACCTGCAAAAGAAGCACTGATTTTGCCCTTCTGTAGCTTCTGTTTTTTCTGATATTTGCTCTGTAGCTTTTGATTTTCTCAGTTGTACTTTTTTGTTTTGATCTAGGTCCGTTGTAGTTAGTGCTGCAAATGAAAGTTCGCGAACAAAAGCTCGTTCGAGCTCGTTCGTGTTCGACAAAAGCTCGTTCGTTTGTTAATTGAGCCGAGCTCAAACAAAAAATTAGGCTTGTTGTATAATCGAACGAACGCTAGCTCGTTCGTGAACGTTCGATAATGTTTGCGAGTATTAATTTAACATTATTTTATTTTATATTTTATATAATTACCTAATATTTTTAATAAAAAATCTAAAATACAAAAATATATTTATTTATCTTTTTATTTTTGAGTTCGAACGAGCAAATTTCAAGTTAATTAAACATATTTAAAAAATTTATGTTCCAAAATTATTCGAACTCGAACTTTGACGAACAATTAAACGAACGAGTTCGAACATAATCTTTTGCTCGATAAATAAACAAACAAACACGAACGTTGTTCGAACGTAATGTTAGTGTTATATACTGAAAGCTTGGCTTTGCATGTTATTACACATTTACCCTTTATGAATGAGAATCATGTTAGATTAAACAAGTTCTACGTTCTGTTGTTCTGCACTTAGATAGGGTGGGTCGTCATCGGGCGAACCGAAGATCACTCTGTCAGTCACTTGCGAACAAGAATAGTTGTTCACAACCTAGATGGACATGAACACCCCATCCGAACGGTTGTAGTGTCAACTGTACAGTTTGTCTTGACTGATTAGTTGC